TGAGAAGGTGGGGTTTGTGTTGGGTTTACTTTATTTTTTTTAATGTAAATTCTCAGTGATTGCTAGGACTTTAGTTTTTTTCCAGCCTTTCTCATCTTTGTAATGGATAGGAACCCCTGCTATTTTTACATCGCTTTCCTTCAGACTAATAAAGCATAAGCTGTAAACAGTGGGAGTTTTCACTGAGCTGAGTTTGTGCTGCACCAATCCCTGTGGCAGCAGACATTGCCTAATGCATAATGATATGGTGACCCTGAAACAGTGATACTTAAACTGATAGTTTCAGTACATTAGCAACTTTAGAAATAAATTTAGTAAGCAGACATTTTTTGGTCTTAGCATTGAAAGTAAATGTAGATGATACTAAAGATGATACTTGGTGGCATCATAAACATCTTACAGCTTTTGCTTCTTTTAAGAGTAGGCAGGTGTGACAACTATATAGCAAGAAATATTTTGTAGTAATAAAGGTAGGAAGGGCAAGCAGTAGAGATCTGCAACAGCCTTTTCAAGGACCTCAAGTCTTGTGAAGTGTATATAATGGAAAGTATCTATTGAGGTCTATATTATGCTCCAGAAACCTGTGATAATGCTTCCTCCATATTTGCACCTTTATATTTGGCCTCTTTCCCTACCCATCAAGTCCAAGTGAAGGAAATGTGTTTGCAGAATTTGGCCAGTGAGCATTTACTAGGAATACTCACAGTTTCTCGTTGCTCCCAAAAGAAGCTTCTGAGTTTATAAAGAACTGAAATCTCAATCTAGGGCAGTTTCAATACCAGCATAAGGATGTAACTGATTAAATATAGATATAGAATTCAAACTCAAAGTAAATGTTTACTGCTGTTGAGATCTCTTCCTTAAAGTAGCTTTTTTTTCCTGCCACTATTTAGAGCTCACCACATTAAATTTTCATTTAAGTATCTCCAAACATGGGAAAAATATATAGTATACAGTTAACAAATAACACTTTCTAGTTACAGATTATTTAGATTTTATAAAGTAAGCATTTTGTTCTTTTACAAAAATACAAATTCATCTTTTGCTTCATTCTTAGCAACAAGAGAAAGTGATTCTTTACCTTGGTTTTCTTGCAAAGCTGACCCAAAAGTGCTTTGATTCATAAAACGACTAGGCCAGCCAGAAGTAGTAACTACAGCAATGTCCCCAACTCAGGTATCAACTTGGGTTCTAAGGGCTGGATCGAGCCTAAGCATTCCCAACTTTTTTTTTTAATTAAATCTATAATTAGATTTAATTATAAGCAATCCTTTCTTCCAGCTTCTTAAATTGACAGTTTTAAAGGGAAAGGTGGACTCCATTTCAGGCAGCATTTTTACCTTATTCCTGGCACAAACTGACACAAATGAAGCCTTGGTACAGAACCAAGGGCAGCTGCAGCTGAAATAAAGCAGAATTGGTGAAAGCCTACCCATGACAATAAGATGTAGAATTTCAGAGGAAACACTGGGCACCCTTTATATCATAAACAAAGGTCTGAAATGAGCAGCCAAAAGTAGTTGTTGCTCATGTTTATCTCAAGGCTTGATCTAAAATAATTAGTTGCATACTAAATCGATCAATTATATTTAGAAATAATACATATTTAAACAGAAAATGAAGAACATATTCAGAGGTATTCTTCATCATTTAACTTAACGAATTTTTGCAAACACCCTTTTAATCTTAGGTATTACATGTTAAGCAGGTAGTGATACAGTTCATGTATCACTGTAACACAGCCTCTTTGCATTAGTCTTGGCATAGTTGACACTAATTATGTAACCAGCTTGCTGAGATGTGGCTAAACAGTCTTGCTTACATTGGTGGTAAACTCAGCTTGTGGTTTTCTTCTTTTCTGGCAAAGTGAAGTCACTTTACAAAAAAGAGCCTGTGAATACTAAGTTACAAGGAAAGCTTTTTTCGGGGTGATGGTAGAAGGGGAATATTTAAGAATGAGCACAGGTAGTCAAGAAAGGAAAGCAACACTAGACTTCTGTATAATTTCTGTATGTGAAAAAGTGCTGTCAGATGCAAGGGAAATATTGCATTAAAATTGAGATACAGTAAACCAGTGCTAAGATCTTGTATCAGTTTTCAAGCTTCTTACCATTATGGGAAGAACTTAAAGTATTCAGGAAGATAGGAATGGTCCTAGAACAACTGTAAGGGCAGGAGCAGCATAATCTCAATCTTGTTCTCTTGAATGTGGAACCTGTCTCACCAAAGGGACATGTGAAATGGCCAGGGAGTGCGATCAGTGTTTCAGAACATGTTGCACAAATCGATTACACTCAGGTTGTGTTCTGATGGATGGCAAAGGGAAGAACCTGAGACATGTTCTGTTTTTTCTCAGCATTAGCAGATAAATGTATTTCATGTTGGATCCAATACAATCATTCTCCATGTCTCCTCACCCCAAATACACTCATGAGAGAGAAGACCCATAGCAAGTACTTAGGGGAGGTATAAAGTGAATGCGATCTGCTATTTTTTCCCAGTTCTGAACACCTGAGACTGTGTGAACTGGGAATTGTTCCTTGATCTTTGGTTCTTTTGGTTCTTGATGCAAGAGTGATCAGTTTAACCTGGTTTTTAAGCAGCTTTTACTTTCATCATGGCAGAAATGTCCTGCATCGGCGAGTTCCACAACTTCTTTTCAGTGTTAGTTAACTTTTACAACTCAGAGTGTCTTAAATCTCAGGCTGTAAGACCGTGATTATTCACCATCTCTGCGTGAAATGACATGGTGATGTGTTTTAGTCCAAATAATCTTTTAAGATTTCTTACAAGCAATACTTGTTCCTGTAAAAAGTCAAACTTTAAAAGGCAGTGCATGATGCTACACACTATTTGACCTTTGGGAAGTTTAACTAAAGACATCCTAAAATAAATCTCATTCTGTAGCAGCATTTCAGATTAACTGTACTATCTATCTTTTGCTTTATTCAGGTTAATTCAATCTTCGGTTATTTAAATACACTCACCTTATTCTCACTTTTGATAAGAAAAGCTGTACTTTATGGTGGGATTGTTTGTAATCAGTCCAGTCAAGAGGTATTTAAGATCTTGAATAGTCATGAGAAATTTATTGCTCCAAAGTCCCTTTAGAAATTCCACCAACTGTTCAGAGTCTCTCTCCAACCCCCACCATTCATTCTGTAACTTTAAGTTTTACCCCTATGCCCCCCAAATGCAGAAGAATTTGTAATACCCCACTTCACGTTTGTAGCAGGAGCGAGAGACTTTATTAATGCCCTCTTCTATCTAAGGAAACTTCAGACTTTTTACTTCCATGGAAGTACACTGAATATTAGTATATAATAAAGAAAATAATTAGCTCTATGGTTCTTGTGAAGCTAGAGGCAACCCAAGACTTAGAGATGAGAAGACTCATTTAAGAGAGAGATGGCTTTTAGTTTCCAAGGATTGTTTTTTTTATTGAAAGCAGCCTTTAGGGAAAAACTGCAGTAATCTTCATCCCAGTTTGCCAGTTCCCCCTTATTCTGAGTGTGGCCTACCATAATATTCACAGCTTGAGTTGGAGGTGGTTACCCATAGAATCACATATCCTGAGTTGGAAGGGACCCACAGGGATCACGGAGGCCCAGTTCTGGCCCTGCACGGGACCCATCCCAAGAGTCACACTATGTGCCTGAGAGTATAATCCAGATACTTCTTGAACTCTGTCAGGCTTGGTGCTGTGACCACTTCCCTGGGCTGAAGCACTTTTTCAGTGCTCAACTAGCATTTGGGTGAAGAACCTTTTCCTAATATCCAACCTAAACCTCCTGACACATGCTGTCACAGAAGTCATACAGCCATGAATTCTACAATGCTGTATGCACTGCATGGTGTACAATGTAGCTCTTCGCCTACAAACCCAAAGTTGTCGATTTTCAAACTAAGCACTTTCAATAACCATATATGTAGAACAAGATGCAACAGGACCCAAATGAACTTCAAACACTGTTCAAAACTTTTTGATTGCAATCCAATCCAGTATCTCTTTCCTGTCTTCGTCTATGTATTTTACCTTTCTCTACCCCCAAACAAACTAAACAGGCCAATTTGAGCTGATCCCTTCTACTTCCATCAGTGGTGAAGCTGTCAACAGTAGTACACATTAGCACCACAGCTGAGCACCATCACTGGTATAAGTCCAACAGCTAGCACCTTGACACCTGAATAAAAGTCTGTGGAAGGACCCAACCCAGTGTGTGTGTCCATCATTCAGCAAGATGAAACTCTTCAGATGTCTCATCTCACACACTGTGCCACTTCAGGCATTAGCTTGAGGTGCCTGTGTTGCAAGCATAGCAGCCCTAGGTTTTCTCTGTAGTTAACAGAAGACAAGTTCCCACAGAGGATTCTGACAACCAGAGACTTGGAAAGCTGGAATAACCATAGACCTAACTGCAGCAGTGCCGATATTTGTATACAGCTGGACAGGATAAATTTTAGTTTAGGTTCTTGAGTTGTGGATTACAGTGTGGGGGAGTTACATAAAGTCAATGATTAGCCTTAACATAAAGGCCTACTTACATCCTTAGTCAAAAGTTTTCCTCTGTGTGGTTCTAAATTTCCAGCTATTTGCACATGTATTTCCATCTATCTCATGTGAATTGTTTGATGTTCAAACTGGTTCTGGAGGAAGCTGAGTTTTTTTTCAAAGACAAGTCAAATAGATAATACTTGAGTGATTTCAATTTCAAGAGCAGGGAGAGACTGGACCAACAAGTTCTGCAGGTTGCCTTTGCCAGATCAGCTCCGGCTGAGGAAACCTGGGCAACAGCAATAGCCACCCACAGGGGAGCAGGCTCCACCCAGCCAGATCAGTTCCTCTGATACATAATCTAGAGAATAAAAAGAAAACATGGTCCCGAAAGCTGAAATATACACACACGTAAAGGTTGTTCTTGAATCAAGCACACTTTTAAGAGTTAAAAAAAACCAAAACAAAACCAACCAACCAACGAAGGAAACAAAAACCCACCAAAAACCCCACCAAACCACTTTATTCCGTAATTGTTTTTTACTCAAGTTTTCATTCAGCAAGGAACAGTTTTCTGCCCCTGATAATTTCGGCAATTCTCTTATTTTACACTAATGGAGCTCTTGTCATATTACAACTGGCCTAACCAGAACTCTTTTTTCCCTTGTTCCATTTAGCAACCTAGGCAGACATCCTTAACAAAAACATCTAATAAAGAAGACACTATGGAGCATGCAATCTTATTCTAGTTTACAGAATGAAGCACATGGCACATTAGAGTACTCCTTCCCAAAGGGATTACTTAGTAAAAAAAGGAAAACAGCACCTATCTTAAAGTGTATTCAAGTGAATATTTTCAAAGGTAAATTTTTGGACTGCAAATTAAGATAATATCATTACAGCAGAAGAGGGGAAACCTTATTTTAAAAATGCTTTTTCCTGTGAAATCGAAGTTGCTGCTTTTTCATGATCTTCTTAATACTCAAATCTGTTATGAGACAGTGTTTGTCTAGAGGTCCAATTGCTTTTTAAGTGAATCTTTCACTTTAATTAGTTTGGTAGCCTACAGGGCATTATTAGCTATTATGATGAAGCTAACAATGAATATGGCTTTCGTATGTTGATAACATCATTAGGTTTCACACAGGCACTCTGACAGCTGAGGGAGTTACAATCCTGCAGATACATTAAGTAATACATCTTTGCACACACAGATTACAGATCAAATTATTGCCATAGCACAAACCTGTTCCATTATGTATTTTAAATAGGACAATTAGGACATCCCTGCGCTGTGAAACAGACAGCTACCCAAACCAAGTAGACAGTTTTTACTTAATATCACTAAACTTGGAGGTAACTCTCTCAAACATATTTAACAATACAACTCAGTATACTGAGTATATACTAAGAATGCACTGTAATATTTATGTAAGAAACAGACAGAGCTAAATACCAATTAGTACAAGGATTTTCTGTGCCGTTCCACAGAAGCTGAGCTGCAGTGCCGGAATGACGATTTGCTTCTGTCTTATACAGTTCAGTCATCAGCAAAATCACATCAAAAGACTTAAAATTCACAGTCAAGATGATAGAGGAAGTTTTTCCAACAGTACTAATTTTGGTTTCAAGTTTAAAGTAAAAGGAGGTAGTGCAGTAAGGTTCAACCCAATTTTACTGATGCCAGGTATATTTGCCAGTGGCCTGTGGGTTGTCTTGTAATGTGATATTTGAAGAGGGTTTGTTTCCATCAGTATATGCGTGTAAGAAAACATCAACTGGTCTCCTGGTTTAACATCTTCCCTTTTGTCATACCTGTGAAGAATAAAGAGGCTTTTATTTATATTTCTCACTTTTCCTATTAAACAGCTCTATTATTGCAGGGTCATGTAGCATTCTAAATGAAACAAAAAAGGAACTGTAACATTGTTAGTTATATTTCTTGATTAAATAATTAGTACTAGAGGAGGAAATTGTATTTTTGAAGAGTTCTGGGACTCAGTCATTCCATGCAAATCTTTCTGCTGCTATTGTGATATAAATCAGGATTCCTAGAAAATTTTTTACTAGTCCCCTATTTGAGTTCTGTTGAGAAAGGACACCAAAGCCTAAGACTGTAGGAAACTGGACTAATTTTTAAGGTTTACTTTACCAGAATTGCAGTTTGGATAAGTGTGGATTTTTTTTTGTTTGTGGGGATTTTTAATAATTTTTAAGAAAGTACTTTAGCAGAACCACTTTTCTTCTGGTAGTCATACATTAAAGTAGAAGCCTCAGAGAATAACAGCGAGAAGACCTCCTTGAACTCTGTAGGAAAGAAAGAACAGCCTGACAATTAGAGTATTAACTTGGCCCTTCTTATTTCTGAGTTCAGCTCCCTGATCTACTACCTATTTGGGCAGGTCACTTTGGGTCAGCTGTCATAAACTTGTTAAAGTACCAAAATATATATAAATTATATATATAAAAGAAATATTTAAAAAGTAACTAGTGAGCTCTAAGACTATTTAACAGGTACACTGACAGTTATTTCGTATAAAGACTTATGTTCAACCTAGCTATTGAGGGAGTTTACAGGATGAGAAAAGTGACTTAGCCATTTGGCAGGGATGTGAAAGATCTAGCTTCAGTCACTCTCCATCTGATCTAAGCCCAAATCTGAAGATGATTATCTGTCAGAGCTGTCTCTAATCTTCTAGAAACTGAGATACATCTCCCTCACTATCTCATGAGGACACTGTTCAAATTCACAATAGTTATTTATTCATTCACTGAGGAGAGTTCAGGTGCAATTTATAGCCCAAGGGTCAGGATACTCATATTGGTCATGGCAGCCTGATCAAGTCTTCAATCCAACAACTTCAAAGGAGAAAAATGAGATAAGTCCACCCCAAAACGCTCCACAGACCACTGTTAAGCTCTGTAACCCAAGTGAAGAGCAGTGCCCCATTCTTCAGCCTTTCTGTTGCCCTGTTCTATGAACTGTTTTCCATCAGCATTTGTCACTCCTCTTCTTAGGCACCTGACTCCTCCTACACGTTTCACAAGCATCTTACTCAAGGCTGTGGCTTTCCTTGCAGACATGGACACTGGGAAGCAGTGCAATCCCAACCCTACATACCCTTAAATGCACCCAGGATTAAATACAGCCTGCACCTTTGGCAACATGTCTTTGCAGGTCTGGGCCTCTCATCTGTCTGAATTCTCTGAAAAAAAAATCTCAATTGATATTTTTACAATGCTCCCTGAGATAGCAGTCACTAAGATTTAAGATATTTAAAGGAAGAACTTCACAACAAACTACAGGTTTTGTGTGGATTGTTAACTAAAATTCTGGCAATTCAGAAAAGGTCCCAGGCTGACAGAATCCAGGTGTCAATAAATACACCATGTAATGCAGAATTAGATTTTGCACAGGGAGTAGGTGCTTTCTTCTTCTAAAACAATTGCATGCTGATCTCACCTGCTATTTCCAAAAATATCACAGTATCCCTTTAGGTTGGTACACACGTCCAAACGAGCAGAAGGAAAGGCATACTTTGTAGCACCTTTACCACCTACTAATTTTGTATTTTCTTCATCAGCAAATAAGGGCCTTTCATCTGGCTGCAAGCATTTCTGAATTTTATTATTTTTAAATACGTTAAGCTTACACAGCGTATTTATTCCTGGTTCAAAGAGACTGCACTAATTGAAGGGAAGATTGTAACACCTGTCCTATGTAAGAACCTGCATCAAGCTTCTTTCAGTCAACCCTTGAAGAAAAATAGTGGATCACTTGCATTTTTCTTGAGGCAAACAGATCTAATCTGAGCATGCCACTGAAAGCTGTTAACTTTAAGGCACTTTTATTTATGGATTGCAGTCATCCTGATGAATCATCAGCCTTCACAGCCACCCCATCCACAAATCTGTTTTTGCCTGACATACACTGTCTATGAAGATGGTAAATTAGTTTTCAACCATCTGAACGGCTGTCACTTCCTTGGATAAAGAGAAAATGGACAGTTGGTGCCACTAAACTTTGCAGTACTGTGCTGTTACACAGTGTGTTAGTCTTGTGTATGATGCTCAGTTGTGGATTGTGCCTAATTTTTTTAATGTGAAACTTCATGATGAATCAGCCCTTCCTTGAGGCTTTGTTTTGCTGAGTAGAGATAAAAGTGAGAGAGACAAACTGCTCTGGAGCTACAACACTATGAAACATCTATCAGTGACAGGGATATTATTCATTCACCTTCCAATCTCACTACACTATGCCTTACAAGCCCAAAACAACCCAAAACTCACAACCTCAAAAAGCTCATTGATATGAAGCACTATTTATAGAGTAGTGTTGTATTCAGAGTAGTGTGTATATTTAAGTATAGTCAGAAAAACAAAGATTGGAACATTTTAGCTATCATGCATGTTCTACCCCTTGTACTCAGTTTAATGATTTGTGGCTTGAGATTTTCTCTGGATTGAACATACAAAAAAACAAGTTGAAATAAACACTAGATGGGTAACTGTGGAGGCTTTAAACTGTCTGTACCATCATGAGAGAGCTTGAAAATAAATAAGGCACAGCAAGATTGATGATTTTTGTAATTCTCCCAGAAGCATACTTATCCCTTCTTCTGCATTATTTCCAAAGTACTTTTATCTCTAAACATACCAATAATTAAATTATGTTCATCTGATCCTGAATACTGTAACTGGGGAAAAAGAACTTCTTAAAACAAAATTTGCTTATATTGCTTTTGTTTTGTGCAGTATGAAGGGAGGCTTTGTATCACTTTCTAGTGAGTCATTTTCATTAAGATGACATTAAATTAGAAACCTACATTCCAGCAGAAGATGTAGGCCTAAGAATCAGAAAGGTGCCTACTTTTTTGGTTTGTATCCTGAAAAGCAAATGATGCCATCCCACAATGTCTCCTACTATCCATTCCAATATTCTGATTTTTAAAACTGTCTAGCACTGCTGATCATAGTAACAAAGCACTCAACAGCCTTCTCTCAGAGTTAGTGAATGTGTCCACAACAGCAGCTTCAATGTGAAGGATGTTCCACACAGACTTTCAACATTAATATGTACATGAGCCTCACATCACCACACATCATTCAAAGACAAACAAAATGAGAGGATATCCCCACAATTATATAAAATTATCAAGTTCAACCATCAACTTAGCACCACCACCACGTTCACCATTAAACCATGTCCCCAGGTGCCATATTCACTTCCAGGGATGGTGACTCCACCACTTTCCTGAACAGCCTGTTCCAATGCTTGATAACCCTTTCCATGAAGAAATTTTTCCTAGTATCTCATTTAAACCTCCCCTGGACAACTTGAGGCCATTTCTTCTTGCCCTTTGAAAGATTCTATGCTATTTAGGCAAATCAGAACCAATCAAAACAAAAACCAAGACTGTTCTGTATTTCTGAAACGGTAGCACCAAAATTCTCTGAAGATTCACATTGTTCTTGACCTGGCTTAATAAATACGCTGTACCAGAAATGGTGTTTGTAATGCTTGTCTCTGCACATATATAAAAAAGGAAAAAGGAGACTCCTTTCTTCAGATCAAAATAATTCATAACATACCTCCAATCAGAATTGATTTCTAGAAACCGAGAAACTCCCGTTTGTGCTGCAGCCACATCAATATGAACAGAGACGTCTACATAAATAAAGAAAACAGAATACAGTTTCAACATTCTTCTAAGAGCACTCTGATTAATAATAAATTAAAAAAAGTAACAAGAAAGATGCACGTAACTAGTGCGAAGTAGTATCCAATACGTGAAAAGATATACTAGCAAAAAAACCCTAAAATTAAAATTAGGTGAACATTCCTCAAGACAGCTTTACATACCTGCTGTTGAAGGTACCAACTCATGCAACTTCTGAATTGCCACTCCTCCAGGATAATTGAAATGTGAAACATATAAAGATGTTCCTGAATAAGCAGCATTAACTAGGAGATGCATGATAACAAAGAAAGATCCAAGTTTATAGAGCCAGGATCTCCGGTAGTTATTCAGACTGTTGAGGAAGGAAAAAACAAAAATAAACTTATTTTCTTTCATAGTGATCATTGACTACCATGACAGAACTGTTATGGAAACTCCATTGCTAGATAATAAAGATTAATGCAAATTTTATTAATCATGTATGGCATGCATTTATTATCAATTTCTAAAAGATTTAACTTCTAGTGACACTTAAATTAGAATATTCTCATTAATATAGCTAAAACAAGCTCATTAATAAAGCGAAGTATTTCTGTGTTTAAAACCATTAGCTATGATTGTATTGTCTGTCAAAGAAGTTGAGAGTATAACTTCAATTTGTTTACTCAATATACCCAACTACATTTAACTCCATGCTTCACGAGCCTCACCTGTATATTAAACTATCTCCTGAGGTAAGTTATATTAACAGCACAGGAGTACACTGGAATGTGTCTTTTTTCTGGTGAATAAAATAAACTGAATTGTAACAACATAACAGTAAAATCAGGGCTCTGTTCTCAACTCTGCTCCAGACTTGCCAAATGGTCCTGTCAAAGCATTTAACTTTTTTCTGTTTCTACTTCTCTCTATGGTTTGGTACACTGACATAGATCTCGACCTCCTTTCTACAGCATATGAACATCTCAAGGTGATCCAAAGTACAAGATGGGAAAAAGTGCATAAAACCAGTAATGATAATTTGTCTTTTCTTTTGCATTTTCAGAGGGAAAAAAACCCAAACCAAACAAACAGAATTTTGAACTTACATCCGTGAGCACATTTTAGCAGCCACTATGTTGAAGACAGGGAAAGTATATATGATAAAACGCAGCTCTTTGTGTGGGAGAAACGAATACAAGAAAATAAAGCCCAGTGCTGGCAAAAGTAAAATCCGAGTTCTCTTTTCTGTTACACCTAAAGGTACAAATACAATGCTGCATCCCAAAGCACGAGGCAGGGCTGAATAGAAATACCACAAGAAGGGAGAGGTCTTCAAGGTGAAAAGGCGAGTTAAGGATGTTTTCACTCTTAACAAGTGAAGTAACTATTCTTTACAGCAGTACATGCAGATTTTGCAAATAAGCAGTATACTTTTTGTACACGCATTTTTCCAGGCCTTTGGTTTCCTGCCTTATCTTTAGAGAACTAAAAGCAGTTGCTTAACATCATTCACATCACCCAACAGAGGCACATCAAATGGCACTAGTGATAGGCAACATGAAAACCCAGGGGGAAGAAACCTGGTTTTACATAGGGAGAACACAAAGAGGCAAGGAGGAACAGTCAGAAAAGGCAAGTTACAATTTGCAGAAGGATCGAAAGGACAGACACTGTGTCATAAATTTCAAATAATGAAATATTAGATCAAAAGTAGAATTTAGCACCCTCACTGAGTCTGAGGAATAAGTTACATCAAGTCTTTGCTTTGGCTGGTAGTATTATTTTTCCCCAAATGTTTCAAAGGATACTCCCCAGTTGGAACTTTTGTTTAAAACTGTGTTATACCAGAGCACTTTCCCCTCAGGCCACACAAGTTGCCTCCAAAATAGAGAATCCACAGCAACTGTTAGCCCTAAAAGAATTAAAGAAATACAAATCTGCATGAATTAAAAACTAGGAAAAAAGCAAACTAACATATCCAAATAGCACATTTACTGATGAGATCAATATAAACTGAAACACGGATTGTAAGCCTCACCCAAAACCACAGAGAAGGTTGAATATGTCTGTCTTGCAGAGGAAATGCACAGAAGGGAGGCATTTCTTAATAGAAGTCTTAAAAGAAACATGTTACATATTAATCTAGTTGGGATTCACCCTACTCCGACCCCAAGTGTGAAAAGCAGGGGTTTAGCTGAAGTTTGTTTTAAAACAAATGCTTAGAGCATTAAAAGTCATGAATGGTAAGAAGCCCAAGTTAACTTCAAATAGTACTAAATAATTTTTTATTGTAAAAATGTTAGGTTACAAAAAGCAATCTCTAGAAGTTTGCTACTATTTATTTGGTGGGAGGCAGGAGGAGGATAAGGGATGAAAGGCAAAAAGGGAGAGCAGCAAAACCATCAGCCCCATCTCTTCTACTTCACACCTCTACTCTGGTATTTAAAGATTTTGCTCAGGTAGGAAATGGCAGTGTCAGTGACTAATTCCCATTGGACTTCCAAACTCTTACATCATGAGGTGCCTCCAAATCCACATGGCATGGTTGTTTAGTGTTTGTATTGTCCACGCTGTGTAAAGGACAGCACACTGCCAGAGATCATCACATATCTGACAACAGCACTTTTAATTAGATAGGATGGCAGAGAAGCTCAGACTATGTGCATATGCATGGCTCTTCCATGGATGGGTAGAGACAAGGGGATTCTTCAACCTCCCTAGCATGGAGATCACTTAAGCTGTTAAATTAATGTAATAAAGGAATAGAGTTGAACTGTAACTCTCCCCACAACCCTCTTGCTTGGTATCTCTGTCACACCATTGTATTTTATCCTGGGCTTTAGCTTATCACCGTGGCAATAGATACTACAACTGATAACATGCACAAGTAGCTACAGCCAGATACTAATTATACTGAAGTCAACTTGCACATCTAAGCCTCTTTAAGATCAGGACATTATACTGTAAGCATCTAAAAGCAAAGGTCACAGTATCTTTCTCTGCTCCTTGCACATCTATTTCCTCACAGGGAAACTTTCAAGGAAATAAAAAGTCTTATCATATGACTAGCAAATGGAATCGAACAAAAACAAAAATACAAACAATACCAAAACAAAACAAAAACCAATCAAACAAAAACAACCAAACAAAACCCCCAAAACAAACCACCAAACCAACCAAAAAATGACGAAAAAAACTAAAAAAAAAAAAAAAAAAAAAAGAAAAAAACCCCTTACAGGACATTTATTTACCAGAGAAATCAGTCAAAACTCCACACTTCTCTTGAATTTAATGTCATTTGCTTTTTTCCAAGCAAACACTTACCCAGCCAAAAAATTCCAGCAGGAACAGCATGGGAAAGGACCTTGAAAACGGAGATTCTTTTAGTTAATAAAGTCACCAGGAGCATGAGGCCTAAGAATATGCAGAGCTCTGATCTGAAGACTATAATCGCCAAAGCTGAGAACCAAATGAATGGCCTTTGCTTTTGCTGTATCCAAAATGTCAATGCCAGGAGCACTGCAAAAAAAAAAAAATAACACACATCGCCCGACATGCTGAATTATTGCTTTTCTAAAGGACAACACTATTCTCAATGCTATCTTCTTCCTCTAACTTCCCACCAATCCTCTCTTGGTCTTCATACCATTTCTAGTCCAGAAATTTTTCCTCTGCTAGAAGAAGGTAATTTGGAACAATGCACAGCTTTACACTTTTGGTGCTTAATTAGGAAAAGTATAACCACAGAAGGAACACATGGGAACTCTTTCTAGACAGTGTATTTAATAGCTTTTGAGGGGGAAAAAAGAAAAAAAAACCTTAAGGGAGTACTAAAAGCCTTTCAAAGTATGATTCATAATTAGCATTGCTTGATATCAGCTGAGCAGTTAGTTTATTCTCTTGGCTAAGTATATTCTATTTTCATGATAACAGCAACAGATTTCAAATACGACTATGAGACTACAGACTATTGCTCAGGGAGAGAGAACCACAATTCATTTCAGTGATTAGCTGGAGACACACCATGTCTCTACACACTAAGTTCATAGGTTTTTTTGAACTGCAGTGTACCTAGTGCCTTTTCAATATCTCTGTGCTTTATGCATGATATGTGTACTCAAACCTCTACCTAACCAAAGCCATCTGACAAAACCCACATACACTCAGAATCAATAAAACTCGATTCAACAGTCATTGTAAGCACATGATTAAAATAAAAAGAAAGGAAGAAATCTCAACTAAAGTTTTCTAGTCCTGCTATCACACAATTTAATCAACCACATGCATTATTTATTCTGACTGTACTTTTTCTGTGCTTTAACTATGATGCATTTGAAATAAGTTTTATATTTTAAAATTATTCCTGTGAAATACCTACCAAAAGGAAGTGCAAACACATTAGGGAGGGTTCGTGTACAGTAAAACATCAAATGAAACTGAGTGACAGTGATGAGACAGAAAATTGATGCTGTAGTTGCTCCAAACTGTTTTCTAACTTCTTTCTGCAGCTTCCATAACGTGTAAATCACACTGAGCCCCAAGCTTCCTCGGACTATTAGAAGAATAAAAATGGGAATTAAAGAGTAGTATCAGACAGACCAGTGACGAACAGCCATGTTATATAACGTAATGCAAAAAAGTTCTGAAGAATAATACTGAAGATATCACAGTATAACCATCTTCAAAGAAACAAAAACCCAAACAAAACTTCATTAGTTTATCTATTCTAATCCACCTTTAACTGGTCTGGTCCTTCTGCACAAAGGTCAATGCTTCTATGACCAAGTTAAATGATATTTTCTGAAGCACACAAGAAACATGTTTCGGAACACACAGGAGTGTATTCTCTGAAGACAATTGAGGCACTTGTTTTTTCTACAGTATCTGACATCTTTTAGCACAGACTTTCCATGTGCTGTTCGTTATCCCCAAAGAGGAAGTGGAACGGCCATGCTGGCCCCAAGTACCTACAGTTTACAAAATCCCTCATTGAGGAAAAGAATGTCACATTTTAACAATTGATCCAAACATTGAATGTAACAACGATGCCACCCATTAGTGCAGCAGGAAAAACATCTCTATTCTGAGGATCTGAAGTTCTCATACCTATCAGCTGGGAGTAAAACTTGGACATTTTTAGCACAGAAAGTACATATATAGCTGGGCTGGAAAGGGCAGCAATAAAAATTGGTCCAAGGAACGTTCTTGGGACAACTCCAGGAAATTCATGATGGTCATACTGCAAAAAGGAAAACTGATGTAAGATAAGCAAATCAGAAACAAAGGAAAATAAATCATTCTCACCGCATTTATCTACTCATAGTGCAGGGAATTGCCATCTTTAACAGTGTCCAGAAATGAAGACATACTTTTCAATTTACCTTATCCAAGTCCAGTTGGTGGTACACCACATCATGGATAGCTTGTAGGTTAAAGCTTTCCTCCACTTTTGTGAAAGGACAGACAGTTAAATGAACAAAAGCCACAACAATAAGCAGCAGCAGCAATGGGAATGACTGCCTACTTGAGTTCCTCTTCTGAGCCATCTTGGGCTTGAAATTCACAAATATTCTACAATTGAAAAGAAAATAAAGAGAAAACACATTAATAACATTGCAGGAAGTGTAGAACCAAAGAAAGAGATTGATAATGCAAGGACAATGTACTAAAGTAGTGGAAAAGTTTAAACAAAGTTTCACTTCAATTATGTCTGCACTTTGTGGGAGAGACAACTTTGTTATTTATTCTCATTTTAATCACGCACTGGATTTACACATAATCTTAAGAATGTGCTCTCTCGTTTGTCCAGGACTCCAAAATCAGTGGGAGAGGAACCATGAGGATGAGGAATTTCTCAGAACAGAGTACTTTGATCTTCTGAGTTTGCCAGCAGCAAGGTCTGGACTCTTCAAGTGAAGGACGAATCCCCTCTGGCACTTACACCCTGTGTCACTATGGCATCAGACAGTCTGAACCCCATCCTTCACACTTCTACCCAGAAATGAAAGCCACCTCTCCCTAGTGCTTTATTTCACAACGCTGCTGAGCCATTCTTCTGGTAGCATTTACATTATATTTTATCATTATGATAAAATCATGTGTCCAGGTGATACCAGAGCAGATCTATTTCATGTTCTTTTAATTTAAGCTTTCCACTTAAAGTTTATAATTTAATAAAAGACAAGAGATTTTGGTTACTGTTACTCTTGCTCTGTTCTCACAGAAACAAAACTACAAAAATAGCATTTTTGAGGTACAACTGGGGGTTTGGTTAGAGATGTTTTCTCCTGTGTTTTGGTCTAAATATGTCCATCAAACAGATGTAAGATAGCTGGCAGATTTCCTAGGATCACTTAGCAACTGCTTCCTAGAGTTACCTTTTTTCTGAACTGATGTTTGTGCTGCTCATTAGTAAAAATAAATACGAGTATGTTCATGTTCCTTATATTTACAATTAACACCAATAACACCTAAAATTTGCGTTCTTCCTGTAAACTGCATGTATCTGCATATTATTTTACATATCTCACTGACTGCATCTCTTTTTCTTCGATAGCCTCTGCTACAGACTGTTATTGAAGCTCTAAGCCTGGGCTTAAAGACAGGGAGCTCTGTATTACATCCTTACAACTCTTGCTTTGTTCTGCATTTTTAAAAGCCTACACAACATAACATCCCAGAAAGTGGGAATAAGTCTTTTTAACCTGTGCATAATATCACTTCCTTAAAAAAATGGCTAAATATGGGTTATGTAACAACAGAATCCTTTTTCCACAGCAGTAGCAAAGAAGGTACAGGACTGACATGAGGAGCACCTCCAGAAGTGTCTGGCAGGAATTAAGCCTCTGCACAGGGCCATTCATTTTGCACAGACTCTAGAAGGCAATCTTGGTCAATTCTTCCAATAAATGCAGAGGCATCTAATGTTTCTGGCCAAACTTACCAAGGACAAAAATGGACACTGCAAGGTCAATCCACCACTGCACAAAGCAACATGGGCATTTGAGTAGCTTATGTGTCAGGCAGAGCAGCACATAGACACTCACCAGCAAGGCAGGTATTCCTCACTCCCAGTTCACAGCTTCTTAATATTTCAGATATTTTAGGACCCAAAAAAATCTTTATAAAATGACGCACATGCCAAAAAGCTCTATTTTTTCCTTCTTAACTACCTCAGTTTCATAAGAGCTTTTACCTTCCCCTATAAATACTACATTCATTATCCTCTGACCACTCTACAATATAGCCTGCTCCTGGTATCTTTAGCTGATAACCACCTGAATAATCAGTCCCCAACTTCCTAAATCAGAATGAAAGTGAAGCTATATATCCCACACACAGTTTATCACAAAGCTTTTTTTTATCTTGTTGACTCCAATCCTTGTGTATGCTTGAAGAAAGCATGCCAGCACACTCATACATCTTGAAGATAATTACATGCATTATAAATACTGAGATTCCCTGAAGGAAAACATGCTAGATGATAGAAAAACCAAAGCACAAAGACAACATCCAGGTTTCTGAGATAAAGCCTAATAAATTCAGTTGTCTTGTCAAGACTCAAGATAACTTGCTCTGCTGAAAATTGATGCTGACAAGCCTCAAAATTCAAGTGGAATTTATCAAGACAGGTAGATACTGAATTTGATGATCAAAATAAATTTTCGATATAAAGGCAAAATACTTGCAATTATTTTTATTTTTTTAAATCCCAAAACCACAGAAACAGATTTCACTTATTTTAATTATTTTAATAATGAACTTTAGAGGAATAATTGTAAGTAAATACATATAAGTTTTCTCCACTGTTAACATTCTGACAACTTAAGTAGAATCCTCCCCAGGTCTCTAAAATGCACCCACACTGACTTCTCCCAGATGCCTACATCATGACCAAATCAGAGAAGAGCAGCAATTCTTCAACACAAAGAAGTCATCTCTTCATGGGATTAAACCGGGTGAAAAAAAAATGGCTTTTTTACTTAAAAAAAAAAAGGCTGAAGTACTTTCATCAACAATGGTTCATTGTTGTTCTATACTTTTTCAGTGGAAGTGCCATTAGTTCAAATGGACTTTTTACTCTTCCCATGAAAAATCTACCATACTTAGCTCATTTTTGTTTTTTCAAACATTCTTCACTATAAATATGACAGTATGGTAGCCAAACTGCATGTTAAATCTGTCTACAGAGACTCATTTCACTCCCTCACACAGAGGCATCTAAGCAGAACCACAAAGTGCATCCCACCATAAGGTCCTCCCTCTTTGGCTTGATCTAGCTTTGGCAAAGCCTATGTTGTATCATCTTAAATTTTCATGTTTTTCTTTCCTGTGCTTTAATAACTCTTACAACTTTGCTCTGAAGCTAACTTCTCAATGAGGTCAGATTTAAACTTTGTAGTTGCTGGGATTGCTTTTTCATCTTTTCTTAGAAAAAACTGAACAGTTACTATTCTTTTATATACTTACTCATAAGTTTAGGGATTGGCTAAAAAAAATAAAAGAATTAAGACAAAAAGAGAAGAGAAAGTTGAGGCAAGAAACGAAGTGTGGGACGGCACCCGACAGGAAGGTGCGATGAAGCTGTGGAGTAAATGTCACTCACTGTTTGGACTGGGGAAGAAACACACAGAACGCTCGGGACTGAAAAATACGCAAACCCAACCCAAGGACCCTCCCCGCGCCCCCACCGCCATCGGGGCGCCCCGGGCTCCTCAGGGGACACCCCACACACCGCGCGCTCAGGCCGGGGTGCGAGGGGCTTCCGGGGGAGTCCCGGACGACACCAAACACCGCCCGCTACTCCAGCAGTACCGGCACCGCCCCCCAGGCCGCTCCGGCTCTCCGCGGCAGGGGCAGGGACAGGCACCGCGCACACCCCTCAGGAGGCGGTTGCCCCGCGCTGCCCGGCCCCTCTCCCTCCCTCCTGCCACAGCTCCCGCGCCCGGGAGGCGGAGAGCTGGGGCGGCCGCCTGGCAGCGCCCGGCGAGGCTCCCGGGAACGCCCTGTGTGCCGGCTGCAGCCGGGCTGTGGCGATGGCAGCCCCGCTCCCGTTTGGTCGGTCGTTCCCTCCCTCCTTCCCGCCTTCCCTTCCTCTTTCGCTCCCGCAGCCCCGGGCAGTGCCCGTGGCCCGGCCCGGCCCAGCCCGCACTCACCGCGCGCGCGCCCGCGTGGCCGCCCCGCGCAGGGCGCCGGCAGCGCGCGAGCAGCCGGGCCCGCCCCGCGAGCACGTGACCCGCTCCCCGGCCGGCCATGTTAGGTGAGGGCAGGGCACGCCCCGTCAGCGAAAGATCTCCAAGGCGGCGGCTGCCGAATACAAATGGCGGGCGGGTTCGAAGCCCCGGCGGAGCTCGCGCCTGCCCGTTCTCACGATGGCGGCTGTGGCGCCCGAGGCCCGGTGCCCACCGCTCCCTCAGACGGCTCGGCCGCGCCCCCCGCTCGGCTCGCCTGGCACGCGGGGCGCTCCCATTGGCCCGGAGCGTGGCGGGCGCTGATTGGACCACGTTCCTCTGCTCCCGCCAGCTCCACCAACTAGCGCACGCGGCCGGGGCGCGCGTGCGGCTGACGCGGAAATCTGAATGGGGCTCGCGCGGCGGCGCTGAGGGGGCTCGATTGGGGCCGCGCCGCTGCGCGTCCCGGGCTACCGAGCCCTCACCATGGGGCCCGGCCCCTCTGCTCGCCCGGGTCCTGCGCCGCGCCCGGCCCGCGCCGCTTTGGCCGTGCTGCTCTTCACCGCCCTGCTGCTGCTGCTGCTGCTGCTGCTGCTGCCGCCGCCCGCCCGAGGAGCCGGCGAGCGGCGGCGCCTGGCGTGCTCCACCTGCCGGGGCATCGTGGACAGGTTCAACCAGGTGGGCGGTGGGGCCGAGCCGGGGGTGGTCGGGCGGCCCCGCCGTGGGACAGGGAGCCTGCGGAGGCTTCACCCCGAAGGGCAACGCCGGTCCCCGGCCGGGCCGGCTCTGCGCCGAGGGCCGCGCTGCGGGAGCGCCTCCGCCGGGGCCGCGTCCCTGGCAGCGCCTGGGCGAGTGACGGGGCCGCGGCGGGTCCTGCTCCGGCAGCTGTCGCGGTGCTGAAGCGGGCAGGTGGCAGAGCTCCTTCAGCTCTGCAGCCCAAAGTATTTTGGTGCTGGCCGTGCTCAGGTGGAGCGTGTCCGGCTTTGCGGGGAGTGCTGGTGGAAAACACCATCACCAACCTGTTGTCACCTGTAGCAGCCCTGCCTGGGACAGAGGACATTCGCCGTGGGCAACGAAGGGCTGCTGCGCCTTGTGACAGGTGCTTGATGTTCTCGGTACTCGCATATCGGGTGCTGCGGGCTCGATGGGTCACTTCAGCTGCGAAGATTTTTTGTACGAGTTGTGATTTGGTGGCTCTGGCTGTGGCTGGGGACAGTTGTGTGATCGCCCTGTTGTACCACTGGGCGTTGAAGTTACAACACGGCGCAGACTGGGCTAAGCGTTATCAAAGCTAGATGAGGTAGAGGTCCTGTTCAGCAGATTATAATAAAGTTTCTGAGAACTTAAAGAAGAAGGGTATAAAGTTTCATACGTGTATGGGGTTTTTTGTAAATCAAGACTGTATCAAGGCCTTGATTATCAATTAGGAAAATTAAATCATGTTACGTTGTAACATACACTTTCTCACTTCTCATCTTGTCCTTAGCTGTTTCTTTCACTTAGCAATTTGATCAGCAGCTTCAGAGCTTTGCTGAAGTTTCTGCATGGTGCTTTTCACAATTTTTATGTAAGCATTTATTATTGCCCTTACTTTTTGTTAAAAACAAACCTTATGTACTTTTTGGTACTTTTTATTTGTAGGGTTTAGCAGATACAGCTAAAAAGAACTTTGGTGGTGGAAACACTGCTTGGGAAGAGAAGACGCTGTCAAAGTATGAGTCCAGGTAAACTGTCTTAGTACTTCTCATTCAGCTACGTTTTGTGTCCACTGTATGAAATTTCACTGTACAAGTGTTTGTCTGGAACTTAAATATTGAACTAAAGTTTTGCTTGACCAAGCCTTAAATTCCTAATTACTAAACTGTTACATTACATTGTAATGTAAAGATTACAGTAAAGACTGAAACCTCTTATTAATGCCTTTATTTGTCTTGTTTCTAAAAACAACAAAAGCTAATTCTGCCATTGGTCATAGTAGTTTTTTTCTATTTACTCATTAAAGTCCTAAAAAAGTGATCCTAAATAATAGTCACTTATTGATAGTTATAAAAGGTGCAGAGTACTGCAGTACTTGTTTTAGAATTAAAGCAGTATCTCCCCCCTAGAGTTGTCACTATTTCAGTGCCAAACAGAAAACAGGTTACTGTACTCTTTTATATATATGTATATTTATATCTATGTTTGATTACGGAGCAAAGTAATCTGATGTCTTTCTCCTAAATTTCAAATTCATTTTTTATCTTAGTTGGATCATTGAGATGTTACTATGAGCTTCATGGGCTTCTATCAAATATTAACAATACATGAAATTTATTGTTGAACATAAGAGAAGAGTACTGCACTCCAGTTTTCTGGGAAGCTAAAAATCTATCAAAGCTACAATCTGCAGGCATAATAAATGCAAGTAAGCCACGAGAGTCTCGTGGTCATTCTTCTATTTTCTTTTTTGATTGAAATAACATTCTTTATTTTGACATTTGCTGTGTTTTGGAACTAAATCAGAACACACCATAAACAGGTGAAATTTTCTAGGCTGAAGTCTGACTGCTCTGTCATGGCTTGAATTGTGTTGAATGTTTAATTTGAACTTACAGCTTTCCTTCTCTGCTTGTAGCGAAATTCGTCTTGTAGAAATCATAGAGAATCTGTGTGATAGTAGTAACTTCGAATGCAACAACATGGTAGAAGAACATGAAGAACATATAGAGAAATGGTGGTTCAAACTGTAAGTATAATTTTTTTGGTAGAGGTCTCTGTGTGAATAAGCTATCTAAGAGGATTAACTACTGACATAATCTTGTGCCTGAACAATAGCAATATGGGTAATTCTTCATTATTCATCAAGAGCTGGCATTGGGTACAGCTGGGTTCAAGTGACTTAGTATCATGTGCTGCTGCACTGTGTTCTTTTTGATTCCAGCAGTGTTGCACCAAAACATCCAGTCTCACTCTCATACAGTGTGTATTTGTTTGCCAGTGGGGTGTCGAGCAAACTAACTTTGGAAAACTGTGAGGTTTAGTCCCTTATTTGTTACCCTTTGTCATAAAACTGCAACTCTTTGGTTCTTGTGGGGTTTTTGTTTGTTTGCTTTTTTTCCCTGAAACTGTTTTGCTCTCCTGGCAATCAAAAGAATAGTTGATGCTAATCAGTGTAGAAGTTGGATCTCTTGAAAATGGTAGAGTTGCAACTAACTTTTCTATCTGCTTTTTAAGCTAACCAGTGATTTCTGTTACAACAGAAATCTTTTCATATACCAGTCTAAAATATAATTAGTGCAAGGATGGCAGTGTAGCATTTAGATTTTTAATATCTGTTTTTTTTATTTCCGTAATCATGTTTCTTCTGAGTATTTTTTCACTAATTTAGACTGTCAGCATTCCCAATTAGCTAAAATTCAGTAGGGTGAACTGCCATTATAACGTTTTGTAACTGGATAAGGCTTCTTAATAATCCACTTTCTTCTTAAAGAATGCTTTATCCTTTTACCTAACTATACATGATTGTGTATATGTTAACATGTCACTTGAAGGGATTAGAATAGAATAGCAGAGTATAGAATAGAATATTTTGATTGGAAGGAACCCGCAGTGATCAGCTAGTCCAACTGCCTGATCACTTCAGGGCTGACCAAAAGTTAGAGCATATTGTTAAGGACATTGTCCAAAGACCTCTAAACACTGACAGACTTGGAGCATCGACCTTCTCTCTAGGAAGCCTCTTCCAGTGTTTGAGCATTTTCTTGGTAAGAAATGCTTCCTAATGTCCAGTCTAAACCTCCCCTGGTGCAGCTGTGAACAATTCACGTGTGTCCTGTCACTAGGTACAAGAGATAAGAGATCAGCACCTCCTTCTCCACTTCACCTCAGTGAGATGCAGAGAGCAATGAGCCTTCCAGAAATGTAAGCTATGCAACCCAGAGTCTTGAATTTGGCTTAAATTTGCAGAACTGAAAGAAACTGGTCTTAAACTAGAAAACTTGACAAAGTAGACTTCCTAAAATAAACAAAACCATTCATAAAATTGGAGTTTGGCAAGTTTCTGTATTTAATAGGCCTTTTGAGTGTAATTTATTATTTTATTTTGCTCTTTAACCTGCAGATGTTTCTGTGGTAGTTTCCAAAAGACAATTTCTTTGTCCGTAAATGCCTTAGTCTTTTTTTCACAAGTTGTTATTTAAAGGGTGGTCAATCACTGGAGCACATTCCCCACAGCACCAAGCCTGTCAGAGTTCAGGAATCATCTGGAGGACACTCTTTGTCATATGATTTAGTGTTAGGAAGTCCTGCAAGGAACAGGGAGTTGGACTTGATGATCCTTATGTGTCCCTTCTGAGATATTCTATGGTATTCAGTAAATTTACTTTTCGGGGTCTGAGCCTTAGAGTTGATATGGGTAGATGTAATAGCTTAGAAAGACAAGCTGTACATACCTTGGGAGTTGCTGAATACTCTTGTTAGACTACAGAATATCTATGTCTTTTCTTAAAAAGTTTGAGACTTCAGCATCAAAAATACTGAGATCTGTGAATTGTCATTCAGAACCCTAGTAGTCCTCATAATTGCTTGCCAAATTATATCTAATGATTTCACTGTTAATTGGGGGAGTCTGCTAGTTCTCAAGTAGCACG